CCCCAAAACCCCAAAACCCCAAAACCCCTATTAGATCAAACAAAAAGGAATCCTTAATAATAAAATACCAGAAATGGATAAACTCAAGGATGCTTTTAACAAAGTAGCAGAAGGTGCCAAGAACATGAAAGAGAAAGAAGAAGAGAAGAAGAAAATCAAAGATGTTTTGAATCATAAGCCAATTAACATCCGTGAACTCAGAGAGCACTGTGTAAGGACCTTATCTTGGATCACCTAAGCTTTATAGATATCTGAGTTCGGTCTTGTAGATTCTTCTATAAGGAAATAAGGCTTGGCCAATCCTCCTAAACATCCATGATGAGGTTAAAGTAAAAGATCTCAAAGATGACAATACAACGACTCCAAAATTCATCTCGTTTGATAAGGACAAAGGCTGGAACAAGCATCAAAATCTGGAAAATGAAAAGATGGCGGATCAAATTGACAAAGACGTCAACAGGTCTCTTAACCACTACCCCTCCTTTGGAATCAAAAGCAGGAGGGATCAATTATCAAGGATGATGAATTCGATCTTCCAGCTAAACCAGGACTGGAGCTATTATCAAGGCTACAATGACATATGCTCTGCCCCTCTCATGGCGGTAGAAGAAAACATGGGATTCCACGTATCTGTAGCCATCTCGAACTATTTCATCAAAGATTTCCTAAAATCTTCCTTTGACAAAGGAGTGATTCCAGCTCTGAACTTAATGATGAAGATTATTGAAGGAACTCATAAGGAAGTGTATGAAAAGATAAGTTTCCTCGAAATGCCGACTTTTGCAGTCTCATGGATAATCACTTGGTTCTCTCATGACCTAGACTCCTCAGAGGACATTTACAGGATATTCGACTATTGCATTGCTTCACATCCTGCTGTATCAATCTATTTGGCTGCAGCCACTGTGATCCACAACAAAGATCAGCTGGAAGATCTTGAGGAAGGAGACATTGCCACTCTCCACATGATTTTTCAAAAATTAGGTACCGAGAACTTCGATCTTGAGAAAGTCATTGCTCTTACTGAAGACTTAATGGAGGCATACCCTCCAGAAGACCTCCTGTATGACAATAAGAAGATTGGGTTTGAGAACGATTCTCCGATTATTGATCCAAGTTTGCAACTGACTACTAAAATTATCCAAGTTGCTAAAGAGACACAAGAAAAGTATATAGTCTACCCTCAAAGCCGTGTTGAAAAATATGGTGAATACGTAACCAAGGGCAATTTAGCAGCAGGAACTGTTACCATGATCTGCCTCTACTTCATAGCTCAATACTACAGATCAGAAGATTGACCTGAACCAAAGCCAAGTGATTTTTAAAGAGTATTAACCGGCTTCAACGAGGATTTAAGACACTGGGGTTTTGGGGTTTTGGGGTTTTGGGGTTTTGGGG